GGTCATGGGCCGTAAATTTACACGCAATCCACGATTTGCGGTCTGAGAGACGCTTCTCTCCAGTTTAGGCCATGAAAAAAGGTTAATCAGTTCATATAGGTGCCTTCAGAGCGACCAACGTTGGCATGTTGGTGCGCAGGAGAACAACCGAAAGACGCAAAGAATCAAATTCTGGGTATTTACAACAAAGCGAGGTACGAGCTCAAAATTGTTGTAGCATCTGTTTATAAGAGACTATATTAGAACTTGCACAAGCACCGCAGAATTTGATTCAGTAAGCAGGCAGACATGTGTATTAAACATATCTGAGCTCATAGTCCACTGGAGTCCAAGGTTTTACATTGATTCTGTTGGACGTCGTTGGCCACTCATAGTTTACATTGTGTTTTACCATATTTTTCATGTGTCTCACAACCACCTGATAGATACACTGGATCACAATGTAATGTCTGAGGCAAATTGTCAAGACAAGCCTGGGTCGACCTGGCTTTGGCAGGACAGGGAATAACCCAGCCAGGATGATAGTCAGATAACCCAGTCTGTAGTGATCGCGACCGACAACGAGGGGCAGCGCTGAACAACCTGGCTCTAAGGGGAAGTTTGGCTGTAGCTGTTGAGGCAGAGTGTCGCGAGACTCAGAAGAGGTGGTGGAGTAACCGCCTGGTCATCGAACTCGAGGGTATCTCGAGGAGAAGATGATATGTATACGAGTGTCATTCGTAGTTGTGGTGAGAGAGCGCTGCGCCGTTGTCAGGTCAAAGTAGACTTGATATTAGACGAGGTAGAATCTAAAGTACCTGTAGATTCTGCTGAGTTTATATACTATATCCTATGAAACTGATGGTTGCCCTTCTATGAAATAGCGGATGCCCTTAGGTGCTCGATCTTGGTAACAGGTGATCGGGGTATCCCGATCGTCATTTGAATAAACCCCTGGTTGGTTATTCCGAATCCAATCGCCCTAGGCGTATCCCAATCATCGTTTGAATAACCCCTGGTTGGTTATTCTGAATCCAATCGCCCTAGGCGTATCCAATCATCGTTTGAATAACCCTGGTTGGTTATTCTGAATCCAATCGCCCTAAGCGTATCCCGATCATTGTTTGAATACACCCCTGGTTGGTTATTCCGTATGTGTCGCCTTGTCCATTGCTTGTGATAACCCGGGATACCCGGGGTTAAGGTTGAGCGAAAATGTTGGAAGTATGCCAAATCATGACACAAATGAATTTAGCGAGGTGCCATCATTTGAAACCCCTTGTCAAAAGCACCCAAACGGACCGCAGATGCAGGCAACGGTGAATAAGAGGAGACATCAGTGGCTACGAAATTACTCGAACTCAAAACCCATTACTCCCCCATTCCCGTTGCTTCTGCCCCGAATGCCGCAGATAGCTCTTGGTTTTTCTGAACCATTTGTTTCTGGACTTTCTCCGCATAGATCATCATCAGCACATGCACAAAAAATCGTAATTCACATCCGACATTTGGCGCAACTGGGATTCGAAGTCATGTCGAAATGTGGGCGTGTTTTCGAAAGTAGTCAAGAGCTTGGACACACCATCCTTTATGTAGCGGTAGCCAGTGGCATTCATGGGCGGACACTGGTTTCCATATGGAGGCTATAACTAAAAAGACGAAGAGGAATTCAATAAGTCCTTTGACCCTACTGACTTGGTACAGGTTGGCCGTTGACCCTGCAGGTACTGACTAGATATGGTACCTGGTTGCCATCTGCCAACAAGATCCATATGGACCTGAAACAGGTACCAATCTACAGTGGAATCCAGCAAGACATAGTGGACTCCACTGGAGTTCAGTGGATGAGGTGAACACCAAGGCCCAATGCGGACTGGTGGAGATTGCCGTCAGACATCTTCTTATCCTGGCCTACCGTGGGAAGCATCACCTAACAACACCCCTTGATATCTTCCAGTGGCGGTCATTGGTGGCCAACGAACTTTCCACCGGCGGGTATATTACTCATGTTTCCTCATGATGCCCACTGACAGGGAGTCTCGCGCTCGCCTAGCATCGTCATTGCGTACCTCATCCGCAACCACGCGATGAGCTATTACGCCGTGCTCGCCTTCGTCAAGCGCAAACGCGCCTGTGCGAAGCTCAACCCCAGCTTCGCGTGCGTGCTCGTCGAGTGGGAGCAGAGCTAGCGCCGTCCGCAGGCGCAGAGGCGGTTCATCTCTTAGGCGTGCGTTATTTTATCATACACCTTCAAGTTGAGGTTCAAACTCCGCAATTACGATCAGACCCCCGCGGTAACACGTAAGGTACGAGTGTCAACTGTTGAAACCATGGCTTGAACCGGTGTTCGCTCATCTCGAATCTCACCTAACTGTGGGGTATTTTCTCTTTTGCATTAATCAAATTTATGTGGTGGATTCAATAGGGGCAGTCAGAGTAGAGGATTCTGGAGGGATTAAGGCAAGGATTCAGCATGGATTATGGAATTTTTGGATGTCCATAATCCTTCATAATCCAAGCAGAATCGCAGCATAATCCAAATCTACTCTGACCGACCCAGGATTGCGGGGAAGGATTATGGACTGAAGCATAATCCAGGATTATGCTGAAAGCCATGATCCACCCAGAATCCTTGCCATAATCACGATCCTTGTCGAATCTCCTCCGGAGGAGATTATACGGGATTCGAGGATTATTAGAATGATGGATTCTCTCACGTTAAAATAAATCCAGAATCCCTCCTTAATCCCGACACATAATCCTTCCTTAATCCGCTACTCTGACTGCCCCTAATGGTTATTGACCGATTGATAGCAGCTATCTCCTGGTTGCTAGACTACAGTGGACCCGAGCACTTAGGTGAACGTTGCTCCGCCGCAGTTTTTGTAACGAGTCGAAGGGATGAATGGCATCACCTTCAATTCATAGTAATTTACAAATGTAGACAGTATAGAGCCATCAATGACCGTAATTCATGGGTCGAACCGCGAGCCAAGCGATGTTCAACCAGCGCTGAATCATGACTGTGACTGCGACTACCAACTTAATTTACAATGTTGGGCTGTGTCTTTTAAAGCAGATATCCGATAAGCTCCTACGCTGCAGCAGTAACTGCGACGTCCCATGGCAACATTGGCAAGTGTCCCGGTCGTAAATGCCTGGTTCCGGCGTCGTCCTCAACTTGGCTCCAGCAGCTATTGGTTGCATCCCGAGCCCACATTTCACCGCCGGACCCCGATTAAAACACCGGGGTTGTTACTGAGACGAATGCCTGGGTCATTGTATAGACTCTTCAACGGCTATAAAAGCGATGAGGGAGAATGTGTTGCACCCCAGTGCTGGACACCAGTAAGCTTCGTCTCAAATCCTACTTTCTGGATCTGACCCCCTACAGCATACGACTATCTTCCGCAACCGCCTCCTTCGAACCATCTAAATCTCTTCTCAATCATCCTGTGAGTAAAACACCAGCTTTACAGCAAATATTGTCTGATTGTCAAGTCTCACAGTTCAAACACATCGAAATGCGCTGGTCCACTATGTTCACCTTCTGCGCCGTTGCTGTCTCTCACTGCACCAACGCTGCGGTGATTGGATCAGCCAGCGTGGGTGCACCGCCGCAACCCAGCGCCTCCTTTGCTGCCCCGCCGCGTCCCAGCTTCTCCGTGGCCGCCAGAAATTCGGACGGTTGTCCACCCTGGCCGCCAAACCCGAGCACCGACGATGTTCCCCAGCCCAGTGGCTTCATGGCTGCCAGGGATTCAGATGGCTGTCCCACGTGGCCGCCGAACCCAAGCACAGACGACGTTCCCGAGGCCAGTGGCTTCGTGGCGGCGAGGGGGAACATACCCCTCCCTAGGCCCACGCGTCCAATCCAGCCTCCGGTACAGCCTGCCCCTCCAGTGCAGTCAGGGGATTTTGGCCGTTGAAGTGGGGTCGGGAAGGATACATACAGGTGTTACCTACCTATAGATGAATGTGAAGCAGAGTACAGGATACACATATTCACAAACTCCGCCACGCGAGACGACGAACGTACGTTGAAATGAACCATCAGGACGGAATGAGAGGCTCCAGAGCCACCGGCAGGAGTGGGATGGCTTCTCGGGACGATGGTGGTGGAACGTCCAAGGGATGTCCGCGTGCGGCGGGTTTCATGTGGCGTGCTGGAGTTGATGACGTGCAGATTGTCCGCGATCCCACTGTATCCACTCGTTTGCCCACGTTGCGTCTACTTGAACACGACACCCCGCCCTCTCACTTATCTCGCCGCTGTCTCCGGACCTTCCGTCCACGCACGTCCACTCGGGCGCTGGCTTCTTTGCGCCACACCCGCGCGCTGTCCTCCTTCCATCCATCAATCTTTTCTCGCATCTTCCATCTGCACTACATCATCGACACCCACATCGTCGCATCCACCATTTCTTCCATCCATCATCGCCGAAATCCAGCCGTCTCGCTGCACCTGTTTGCTACCACCTATCCCTCCCATGGGTTCTTTGTGTTGTTGGGTTTCCGTTTCCGTTTCTGTCTCTCCGAGTGTATATCTGAATGTGTCTGTGTCTGTGCTACTAGGTATCTCGTATCTGTATCCGTATCTATAGCTAACCTCCTTCCTCGTTGCGTTGCGTATTTATCTTCCCTCCTTGATTACTCGGTGACTCGTTTCTTGCCGTCACGATCGGGACATTCCGCTCCCTTCCCGTTCCTTCTGCCGTACCTTCTGCTTTATTGCTACACACGTATCTCGTGCTCGCGCTTCGCACTTCGTCTTCACATTCGCTATTGTACATATGGGCGGTTGTCGTTGTGTATCTATTGGATTTTATTGCTGTCTCTCTTCGTATTCTCGGTCCCTCAATTCTCGTTCGAGGGGTAAGGCTGCGAGGATGTAGTTCGAGGGCTACGAGCTTCTGCCCGAATTCAGAACTCAGAAGATAGTCTCCGCTTTTTTTCCCTAGGCGTCTTCCAACTGCCAAGTGGTTCGAAAATTGGTGATATATGCAGGGTGCAAGAGAGAATCGGGTGTGGTGTATGGCGCACGCTCCCTTGTGTTCAACGCTCCAAAGACGACGGAAGGGAGAGATCCGGGTTCGATTCCCGGCGCCCGAGCTACGCCATGAGTATTTCTTTTTGACCCTCTCCTTCAAGCTTTATATTTTGGTTCAAAATCGAGGGTAGCAAGGCATTCTTTCCTTCGAACACATTCGAAATATCACGGTGAGGGCTGACCGAAGCCGGTGAAATTAATTTTTTGTCAAATGGGCAGAATGGTTAGTGTCAGTGGGTTAGTTGACTTAAAAATGAAGCTAACAATTCGGGTGTCGTGTATGGTAGACACTCCCTCCGGTTAGTCGTTGTAAAGAGGGATGAATGGGAGAGCGCCGGTTTGGATTCCCGGCACCCGAACTAAGCCATTTCCTGTCGCTTTTGTTTCCTTGAACTAAATCTCTGCTCGAAGATTGCTGGGATATGTTGGGTGCAGAGTAGGAGGGAAAGTCGGGTGTGGTGTATGCAACACTCTCCTTCCTCCTATTTTGTGGAAACAAAGACATTCTGATGGGAGAACCGGGTTCGACTCCCGGCGCCGAGCTGACCAGTGTACGTAGTTCCTTGTTCGGCTCCAAGTGGATATTCAACCTCGCAACTTCGTGAGTTATTCAACCTCGCAACTACCCCCAACTCAGCGTGGCGTACGGTACACACTCTCTTCTTTAATTCCCCCGAAAACAGGATGAATGGGAGAGAGCCGGATTCGACTCCCGGTGCCCGAATGGTGCGAGGTTCTTTAGCTCTTTTGGCTTCAGCTGGATTTTAGCTCGAAATCGAGGTTAGGGAACGTGCTTCCAATCGAAATATCATCGAGGTGTCCATGTGCGTGAAGGCTGGTCTCGAGCGGGTTTAAAATCATTTCTGGTCAGGTTCAATGAGTGCACTAGGTTAGGTGACTTCAGAACTAGACTAATAACTCGGGTGTGGTATGTGTGCACACTCACCATCTCCCAGACACGGAAATTAGCTGAAGGGAGGTTCCTGGTCGACTCCCGGACCTCCGTGCCCGACCTAGCTCTGGCATTCAACACTTTTTTGGCTTTTATTTGATACCTTGGTTCGAAAATTGCTAGGGTGCAACCCAGCCCATTAATCGGGTGATGTATGGACCACCCTCTTTCTTGTATGTGAGACCAAGAACGATGAGGAGACACCGGGTTCGACTCCCGGCCCCAGAACTTAACGTGTTGCACCATTTCTTTTTTGGTTGGCTTGAAGTCCGGGTTACAAATTGCATGGGACAAGCACTTTACTTTCAAATATAACTCGGTTGTATTCACGGGCAACGGACCCCAAAGAGGAACAGTCCGAGAGCAATGGCGGGAGACTTTGGAGTCGGATTTGGCCAATAAATGGCGACCTCAGACTTTGAGCGTAAAGTCTGCACCTTTTGGCCTTCAAGCTTGAGGGGTAGGGAACATTCTTCAGGCGAAATATCTCTGACTAGCGAGTTGTTCAATAATTCTCTTTAATTTCTTGTCAAGTTCAATGGAATGGCAACATGAGGTAGTCGACCTCAGAACTAGGTTGATAAATCGGGTGTGGTGAATGTACACACTCCCTCCTTTTCAATGGAGAGGAATTGAATTGATGGGAGAGAACTGGGTTCGACTCCTGGCGCCCGAATACGGCCAACTCCTGCCAGTTTTCGTTTTTGCTTGAACTTCGATTTGTGGTTCGAAACTCGGTGGGTTATTTACGGTGCAAAGGAGGGAAGAAAGTCGGGTGTGGTGTATGGGAATACGTTCCCTCCTTTAATGTGGACATTACAAACTGAAGGAAAAGAATCGGATTCGATTCCCGGTGCCCGAGCTTCTCCAGCTCCATTGTTTTTTTTTCTCATCTGAACTTCGATTTGGTTCGACTCGGTGGTATAGGTGGGTACAACCTAACCCATTACTTCGGGTGTGGTGTGCGGTGCACGCTCTTTCTCTTCATGGCAACGGAATTGAACTGAATTGAAAGGAGAGACCCGGGTTCGACTCCTGGCGTCCGAACTATCGATGCTCGCGCTTCTTTCTGCTGCCTCCAAGTGGATATTTTAGTTCGAATTCCTGGAAGTGTCGGGTGGTTGTATTTATGGAACATGCTCCCTGCCATTAATAGTGAGATGGATTTTTTGATTCAAAAATTGTGCACGATGGTCTAAGAGACGTATGAAATTCAGCTGGATAATTTGAATTTAGATTGAAGTTGAGCTCCGAGCTTGGTCAATGCCGATAGATGGGTGGTTTGTGAAGCTCAGAACTAGGCTGGTAATTCGGGCGTGGTGTACGGAACATGCTCCCTCTTTTCATTGGTGGAGAGATCCGGGTTCAACTCCTGGCGCCCGAACTCAACGTGTCGCACCATTCTTTTTGTTGGCTTGAACTTGGCTTTTTTCATCCCCCTTGGAGTCCGGGTTGGAAATCGCATGGGACAAGCACTTTACTTCGGAATTGGTTCAAATATCACTCGGTTGTGTATTCGCGGGGTAACGGTCCCCAAGGCAGGAACACCGTTGGGGGGACTTAATTTGAGTTAATGTCGAGCTTCGAGCTGGGTCAATAAATTATAAATGGGTGGTTTATTCGAGCTCTGAAAGAGGTTGATAATCCGAGCGTGGTGTACGGAAGGCAGTTCCTCCTCTTCATCGGAAAGAAGACTCGGAATTACAGGGAGAGAACCGGGTTCGACTCCCGGTGCCCGAATTAGACAAATTCTCTGATTCTTTTTCTTGCTGGACCTTGCATTCTGGTTCGAACCCCGGGGACGTTCACGGTGCAGACGATGGCACGGCTGGATAAGATACAGCCGTGGGGCTGCGTTAATCTGGAGCGCTAGCGGCAAGATATGGAGGAGAAGTAACAAGCAACTATAGACCGTTCGTGGAGGTGGATAAACAAATGATAGGGAGTCGACCCGATGTCCGTGAGCATGGGCTATAAATTTACACACATAATCCAAGATTTGGAGCGTGGGGACGCGGCGGGATGCTCGCTAAACTGGTTCGTGAGACGCTTCTGGTTCAGAAGTTGCACATCAGAGTGACAGTGCTTAGAGACGATAGTGCGGAAGACTAGACTCGTAACCAGTCTGCCTACACCGTTCTAACAAGCGGGCTTGTTGCCGTAGGCAGACTGGTACTTCTCGGATATGTCAATTGGTCTGTCGCGGAGTTTGAAATTAAGTTGTTCATTGAGTGAGACCGATGACGCAATGAGCCGCGGCAATTCCGGAGATCACGGTCCGAAGTTGATTTCCACTAAAACTATCCTCTCAGGTTTTACGGTGTTCTGTACCATAAAGAGGAAATATAAGGAGACCAAATCAAAGGGATAATTCTTTATTTATTACCCCAGCTTCACTGAAAAATAAACTTAAAAACTGAGTGTAAACAGAATAAGATTGTGAAAAAGTCACTTAAATTTCAAACTCCGCCCCAGCCCAATTGGGATATTCGAGAAGTACCAGTCTGCCTACGGCAACAAGCCTGCCTTCTTAGAACGGCGTAGGCAGACTGGTCACGAGTCTAGCGGAAGACAGAGTGTGATCATTCGGATGTAGACTCGTTACCAGTCTGCCCTACACGGCAAATCTTAGTGCAAGCACTACCTACGGCATAGTGCTTGCACTCAGTTTTGCCGTAGCGCAGAGTGGTCACGAGTCTACATTCGGCATCATGATTCGACCCGCGTGATCCGTTGCTCTCGCAGTTTGCAAGCAGTCATTCTTACCTTCGTTCGTCATGTTGCGCACTCACAGGTCGTCTCACCCGCCCAGCATCGTCATCGCCTACCTCATCCGCCACCACGCTGCACGCAATGAGCTCTGACACCGCGCGTGCCAAGCCCAACCCCCGGATTCGCGCGCTCGTCGAGTGGGACCAGAGCTCGCGCCGGCCCCAGGCGCGGAGGCGGTTCACGTCTTAGGCGTATTTTCATCCTGGATGTTATTTGTTTTGTATGTGAAGGTGCGTGCGGCGAGTTTTATGTGGTGTGCTGGAGCTGATGACAGCAGATTGTCCGCGATTCCACCCCACTGTATCCACTTGTTGCCTTTACTTGCAAACACACCCCGCCCTTCCTCCGATTCGTCCTCTCATTTTTCTCGCCGCCGTCTCCGGATCTTCCGTCCACGTCCATTCACTTCTTTACGCACACCACACCATCCGCGCGCTTGTCCTCCTTCCGCCTTCCATCTCTTCTCGCATCTCGCATCTCTGCGCCACATCACCGTATCCGCGCCGAGATCCAGCCGTCCTGCATCTGTTTCTAACTATCTCTCCAAGGGATTATTGTTTCTTATTGGGTCTCCGTTTCCGTC